TGTCTGGGCTGAGTGGTTTCTCTGATCTCAGCGGCCACCCCCCAACCCGAGGCTGTCTCTCCTGATGCTTGAACCCCCTGCAGATCTACACAAGCTCCAAGCCCCTGCGTGTAGGCTACTATGAGACCGACAACTACACCATGCCCACCCCGGCCATGGAGAGAGCCTTGCTGGAGACCAAGCAGAGCCTCGAGGCTGCAGGCCACACGGTATGGCTGCAGGACCGCAAGTCCTGGGACTCATGCCGTCCCAGAAAGCCACTTGCTCCCTGGCATCTTGGCACTCCGATTGTTTTGTGGGTGGGGATGAGAACTATGGCCCTATGGGTCCAGCCTGCAGAGGCCGGTCAGGTGTATTAGAATGGCTGACTGCCTGAGAACACATCCTTGTGCTGGGCGATGGGGGGACGCTGCATGTGGGGGCTCCAGGTAGCACTGGGACACAGCCATCGGGGTTCCTGAGGCCCTGGGCTTGGTCTGCTCACCTGAGGCTACTCGGGTGTGGCTCCAGACTTCGTGCGCTGTGTGCTTTTCAGGGAGTCAAGGGGCAGTAGGCCGCCCCCATGGCACTGGTGAGAGCTGTGCAGAGGGTGGTCCAGTCCATCCTCAGGCCACTGGGGCACCAAGGGGTGCTGGGTCTGGGGGCCTTACACCCCTCACCCCTGCAGCTGGTTCCCTTCCTGCCAAGCAACATACCCCATGCTCTGGAGACCCTGTCAACAGGTGCGCTGTTTAGTGACGGCGGGGACAGCTTCCTGCGGAACTTGTGAGTGATGCTGGGCTTCGGGGTCTGTGGTGGGGGTGGAAACGTGGGCAGGCCTGTGGAGAGCAGCTGGGTGCCATGAGCCCTGAATGGACCTCAGCTGAACCCAAAGGCCTGAGCGTCCTGGGCACGTGGAACCTGGACATACCTCGCAAGGGCACAGTGCCAGTCTGAGGGAGCCTGGGTCGAGTGCCCACGCCTGGTCCAAGGTGGGCCTGTGAGATGTGGAGTGGGTGGAGGAGCTGCTTCTCTGTCTCGGAAAGATCAGAGACGAGGGCAGGGTGGGAGCAAGAGAGTAGGGTCTGGACATCGTGCCAAGTCTTTTGTTTTGAGCAAGATGTTTCCTTTTCTGTAAAGTGGGTGGGTTGGACCGGGCTCACTTCCAAAGACTAGAGAAGCTGGCTCCTCTTGGCTACGTTGGGAGGACAGGCCCATGATGGCGCCTCCTGGTGATGTGCCCAGGCTGGCTGACCCAGACCGCAGCATGTAAACCCACTCCCTCTGCCGCACCTGTGGGGCCCCTGTAGACTGTGGTTCCCTCCCCCAGCGACCAAGGACTGCCCAGGCTTCAGCAGAAGGAGCTACCTCTCACTTGGGCCCTGGGATCGGGGCCCCAGGACAGACACCTAAGCAGCCTCAGAGACATGCTTCATAGCAGCCAGCTGGGACCACCCTGCTCGTACCTCTAGGCTGGCATCAGAACCAGTGGGGAGACCCCTCAGTAGAAGCGTGGTCGGGGAGCGGCCGTCCTAGGCTGTTGCCCTGAGCTGGATTTGCTGGAGAGGGAGAACTAAGCCCAGTCTTGGGAACTCCTGGGGGCTGGGGGAGGCTGCAGGGGAGGACGGGTCATCAGGTAGAGAACAAGGGGCTACCTTGAGGAATTTGCGATGCGGGCGCCTCGACTAGGCCTTTCGTCTCCCAGCAAAGGTGACTTCGTGGACCCCTGCTTGGGGGACCTGATCTTAATTCTGAAGGTGCCCCAGTGGCTTAAAGGACTGCTGGCCTTCCTG